TGCTATCACTTATTTATATATCCCACTTCCTTCAAAGCTTGGGGCAGCTGACTAAATATGAAGTTAACAGCATTAGGATGCTATAAAAATAAATAAGGTCATCTAGAGAGCAGCAGGACAGAAAGGGAATAGAAACAGTAAACGGACCCTGCCCCCAAAACCAATATTTTAAAAGTCCAGGATGCACAGCTGGAGAATATGAAACCTTAACCAGGACCAAAACAAAGTGCCACGTAAGAACAGAAAAGTCGTGCTGCAGAAGCATATCGAGTGGGACGTTCTGTTCATATGGAGGCTGCCAATAGTGGACATGTAGGGAAGCGTGTTTGCCCCATCCATGTTCAACATCTACACAAATGACCAGCCACTGCCAGAAGGGACAGAGAGCTTCATCTATGCTGATGATCGTGCCATTACTGCTCAAGCAGGGAGCTTTGAGATGGTTGAAGAGAAGCTCTCCGAAGCTCTAGGTGCTCTTACTGCCTATTACAGGGAAAACCAACTGATCCCTAATCCATCTAAAACACAGGCATGTGCCTTTCACCTTAAAAACAGACAAGCATCCCAAGCTCTGAGGATTACCTGGGAAGGAATCCCACTGGAGCATTGCAGCGCACCCAAATACCTGGGAGTCACTCTGGACCGTGCTCTGACCTACAAGAAGCACTGCCTGAACATCAAGCAAAAAGTGGGTGCTAGAAACAATATCATACAAAAGCTTACTGGCACAACCTGGGGATCACAACCAGACACAGTGAAGACATCCGCCCTTGCGCTATGCTACTCTGCTGCTGAGTATGCATGCCCAGTGTGGAACACATCTCACCACACTAAAACAGTGGATGTGGCTCTTAATGAGACATGCCGCATTATCACGGGATGTCTGCGCTCTACACCACTGGAGAAATTACCCTGCTTAGCCGATATTGCACCACCTGACATCCGCCGGGAAGTAGCAGCCAATAGTGAAAGGACCAAGGCAGTGACATCTCCAGCTCATCCCTTGTTTGGGTATCAGCCAGCACATCAACGACTTAAATCAAGAAATAGTTTTCTAAGATCTACAGAGACACTCGCTGGAACACCTCAGCAAGTGAGAGTCCAAAAGTGGCAGGCTCAAACCCAGAGTGCCAATCAATGGCTGATACCCAATGAGAGACTCCCCCCTGGGCACACAGAAAACTGGGCGACTTGGAAGCTGCTGAACCGACTGCGCTCTGGCACCACGAGACGCAGAGCCAACCTTCAGAAATGGGGCTACAAAGTGGAATCCTCAACATGCGAGTGTGGAGAAGAGCAAACCACTGACCACCTGCTGCAATGCAACCTGAGCCCTGCCACATGCACATGGAGGACCTTCTTGCGGCAACACCAGAAGCACTCCAAGTGGCCAGATACTGGTCAAAGGACATTTAATAAACTACCAACTCTGTGTCTTTTGTATGTATGTTTGTTTGTTCTGTCAAAAATGTAATACAACTGTTCGGTTGTCTGACACAATAAATAAATAGGGAAGGAGTGTCCCTGATACATAGGGTCATATTGCTTCTGATCTTGGGGGTGATATATAGCAATCCATTCTTGACTAGTAGCCATTGATGACCTTAAGCTCATAATGTCATCCACGGATGTCCTTTTACATTACAGTTTATAAGGCTATGATTCCACTTTAGCTGCTATGGCAACCTCCTAGGAAATTGGAGAGTTTGTAGTTTGGGGAGTTTGAGCCAAAATGTGATGCGGCGAAAAAAAAAAGCCAATGGGATTTTGGCCTGCATCAATAGGAGTATCGTGTCTAGATCCAGGGATGTCATGCTACCCCTCTGTAGCGAAATTGCTACTCTATGTTAAATTTTTGGTGTATAGCTCTATGTTTACATATGGCAGATAGGGAAGAATAGGCACAGACAGGGTAGCAACAGCAGAGATAGGATTCATTTGCATATGGAAGCCGATTGGTCATATGCAGATTAGCGTAGGCCCAGGATTTGAAAGGTTGCTAGGCCAAAATGGCAGTTGGAGAGAGAGCAGAGCTAAACATTCCAAAGGGGCAGAGCCAAGGTTTTAAAAATAGGCAGTTAGAGAGTCAAAGGAGTGAGTTAGGAATTGTTGTTTGTGAGGGAGTTAGGGATTCCTGTTTGTGAGAGACAGTTAGGAACTTCTGTGAGAGAAAAGAGTTAGGAACTCCTGTTAGAAATAAGCAGTTATGAAGATGTGTTAAAGACTTCTGATATATAGAAGCAGTTAGTTAAATAGAGCTCAAGTTTTAGGAACATAAAGAAAGCCAGTGGTGCTTTAGTCAGAAAATAATTTCAGTCAAGAGTGTGTAAAGCAAGTAACATGTTTGTGAATGTGAAACATTGAAAGTCTATTTCAGAAAAGTAAACCAAGTATATTATACTGACTGTAAGCCTCAAGATTGCAACAAAACACAAACGTAACCACAAGCATTGGAGCCAGAAGTTATAAATAAACTGTGTTACTTTGTTATACAGAAGTGTGTCTCATTGTCTGTACAAAGGTTAAACAGCACACAGAAAGTCCCAGCCAAGATAAAAGAAGAAACTGAATCATTATAAGAGCAAAGAGGTTTTTCTTAAATAAAGAAATAGTCTCTCCCCCTTGCTACACCCTCTATTAGGAGCCCCCGGGGGCGCAGTGGGTTAAACCCCTGTGCCGGCAGGACTGAAGACCGACAGGTCGCAGGTTCGAATCCGGGGAGAGGTGGTTGAGCTCCCTCTATCAGCTCCAGCTCCTCATGCGGGGACATGAGAGAAGCCTCCCACAAGGATGATAAAAACATCAAAATCATTCAGGCGTCCCCTGGGCAACGTCCTTGCAGACGGCCAATTCTCTCACACCAGGAGTCACTCCTGACACGACAAAAAAACCCAAAAAAACCCCAAAACCCCTCTATTCTGCCTTGACAAACTGGAAAGTGTCCAGAGGAGGGCAACTAAAATGATCAAGGGTCTGGAGAACAAGCCCTATGAGGAGCGGCTTAAAGAACTCAGCCTGAAGAAGATAAGATTGAGAGGAGACATGATAGCCATGTATAAATATGTGAGAGGAAGTCACAGGGAGGAGGGAGCAAGCTTGTTTTCTGCTGCCCTGGAGACTAGGACGGAACAATGGCCTCAAACTACAAGAAAGGAGATTCCATCTGAACATGAGGAAGAACTTCCTGACTGTGAGAGCTGTTCAGCAGTGGAACTCTCTGCCCCGGAGTGTGGTGGAGGCTCCTTCTTTGGAGGCTTTTAAGCAGAGGCTGGATGGCCATCTGTCAGGGGTGCTTTGAATGCAATTTTCCTGCTTCTTGGCAGGGGGTTGGACTGGATGGCCCACGAGGTCTCTTCCAACTCTATGATTCTAGGGAGGCACTAGCTGAAGATAGCCAGTATGGTGTTGTGGTTGTATCTTGGACTAGGACTCAGGGCTCAAATCCCTATTTGACTGCAGAAACCTGGGAAAATCACACTCTTTCAGACGTGGAGAAAAGCAAGGGTAAACATCCTCTAAATAAATCTTGCCAAGGAAACCTTATGGTAGGGTACTATACGTCAAAGTTGACTTGAAGGCACATAACTATAGGAGGCATTAGAGCCCTCTGAGTGTTCAAAATATTCACTTCTAAATTGCAACAATTGAGATCATCAGCATACTTGGCCAACTCACTCTTCATCCAACTCAATTTATGACAAATTAAAAAATCACTGGTCCAAAGCTGAGCAATTACCTTGCTCACATCTTTCTCAGAATTAATCAGGTGCTTTGAGATAGATTTCTGAACACAGAGGCTCCGTTTTGCTCTTATGGTTAATAGCTGATGATATATCTTTCCGGCAGAAATTTGTCCAATTTTGATTTGGGATTCATACCCATGTCTTCTGGAAATGCATCTTGGTATCTTCACTAAGTGAGCAGAAACAAAACCAGAGATATTATGACTCCCCAGATTTCGGACTACAACACCCATAACTCTTAACATTGGCCATGAGTGCATCTACAGTGTAAAATTAACACAGCTTGATACTACTTTGACCACCATGGCTTAATGCTATGGGCTCATGGGAGCTGTAGTCTCCCAGAGTGTTTGCCTTCTCTGCCAGAGTGCTAGTGTCTTACCAAACTACAACTCACAGGAATCAAAAGCACTGAGTCGTGGCAATTAAAGTGTCTAACTGCATTCATAGAATCATAGAATCAAAGAGTTGGAAGAGACCTCATGGGCCATCCAGTCCAACCCCTGCCAAGAAGCAGGAATATTGCATTCAAATCACCCCTGACAGATGGCCATCCAGCCTCTGTTTAAAAGCTTCCAAAGAAGGATCCTCCACCACACTCCGGGGCAGAGAGTTCCACTGCTGAACAGCTCTCACAGTCAGGAAGTTCTTCCTCATGTTCAGATGGAATCTCCTCTCTTGTAGTTTGAAGCCATTGTTCCGCGTCCTAGTCTCCAGGGAAGCAGAAAACAAGCTTGCTCCCTCCTCCCTGTGGCTTCCTCTCACCTATTTATACATGGCTATCATATCCCCTCTCAGCCTTCTCTTCTTCAGGCTAAACATGCCCAGCTCCTTAAGCCGCTCCTCATAGGGCTTGTTCTCCAGACCTTTTATCATTTCAGTCGCCCTCCTCTGGACACATTCCAGCTTGTCAATATCTCTCTTGAATTGTGGTGCCCAGAATTGGACACGATATTCCAGGTGTGGTCTATGGCGGAGATGAGAGACAGGGCCTTCTCAGTGGTGGCCCCACAGCTGTGGAACGCCCTTCCTACAGATATCAGATTGGCCCCCTCCTTATTGGCATTTCGGAGGAAAGTGAAGACCTGGCTGTTCGAACAGGCATTCGATTAGGCAGTGTAATTGATTATAGGAACACGGAATAACGGATGATGAGACTGGATTGAAGCCCTTCTTCCAGGGTTGCAAGGAGAGCCAAGGAGAGGGACCCTGCAAGGCCCCGCCTCCTTCCCGCCTGCTATAAAGCACTGCCTGCGACGCTGGAGCCCAGAGTTGCAGGAGAGGAAGCAAAGCAAAGCAAAGCCTACCGTCACTCTTCATTACTGCTCTGCAAGGACCCCCCATAAGCAAAGCCTTGCCATCATGTGCCGAGGTTTAGCCGCGCTGCCAGCCAGCTGCTTAGAAAGGTAAGAAGAGGCTTGGGAGGCTTCTTCCTCGGGTTTGGGCAGAAAAAGGGGGGCTCCAATAATGGAGATCTACTCCTACCCCCCCCCCCCCTTTCAGACCAGTCCAGGAGAGGGTTCCATGCCTTTAGCTTTATTTGTTTTGATCCTTTTTCAAGGGAGATAATAATAGTAATAGTAATAATTAGCTGTCCCCTGCCACGCGTTGCTGTGGCCCAGTCTGTTGATCTGGAAAATAAAGTAATGAGAAAGTGTTGGTTTCTAATATATGTAATTTCTTTATGCTTGTGGGTAAACAGTATTTCTTGCTGTTTCTTTGTCAGTGTTGATGTAGATAGTGTCTGGTTTGCCCACCCTGGAACATGCAACTTATCATTGTCCTTCTTTAGGGTCCCTTTCAAATCTATGATACTATATGTGTGTGTGTCATATCTATCCATCCATCTATCCATCCATCTATCTATCCATCTTTCTATCCATCTATCTATCCATCCATCCATCCATCCATCCATCCATCCATCCATCCATCTATCTATCTATCTATCCATCCATCTATTTATCCATCTATCTATCCATCTATCTATCCATCTATCCATCTATCCATCTATCCATCCATCTATCCATCCATCTATCCATCCATCCATCCATCCATCTATCCATCCATCTATCCATCCATCCATCCATCCATCCATCTATCCATCCATCCATCTATCCATCCATCTATCCATCCATCCATCTATCCATCCATCCATCTATCCATCCATCTATCCATCCATCTATCTATCCATCCATCTATCCATCTATCCATCTATCCATCTATCCATCTATCCATCTATCCATCCATCCATCTATCTATCCATCCATCTATCCATCTATCTATCCATCCATCCATCTATCCATCCATCCATCTATCCATCTATCTCTATCTATCCTATCTATCATCATCTATCCATCCATCCATCCATCCATCCATCCATCCACCATCTATCCATCCATCTATCCATCCATCTATCCATCCATCTATCCATCCATCTATCCATCCATCCATCTATCCATCCATCTATCCATCCTTCCATCTATCCATCCATCTATCCAGAGGCGGCCCTAGGTAATTTTCAACAATAAGCAAACAGTTATGTGTGCCATATTTGGTTCAATTCCATCATTGGTGGAGTTCAGAATGCTCTTTGATTGTAGGTGAACTATACATCCCAGTAACTACAACTCGCATATGTCAAGGTCTATTTTCACCCAAGAGCGCCTCAAGAGCGCCCCTGGGCAAAATCAACTATACTGCAAATGCTTACTTTGCGTAATGGGTTGAGCCGCCCCTGTATCTATCCATCCATCTATCCATCTATCCATCTATCCATCTATCCATCCATCCATCCATCCATCCATCCATCCATCCATCCATCCATCTATCTATCCATCTATCTATCCATCCATCTATCCATCTATCCATCCACCCATCCATCTACCCATCCATCTACCCATCCATCTACCCATCCATCTATCCATCCATCCATCTATCCATCCATCTATCCATCCATCCATCTATCCATCCATCTATCCATCCATCCATCTATCCATCCATCCATCCATCCATCCATCCATCCATCCATCCATCATCCATCCATCCATCCATCCATCCATCCATCCATATCTATGGCTGGATGGCTCCTTGTCAGGAGGGCTTTGATTATGTTTTCTTGCCCTGGTGAAGGGAGTTGAACTGGATGGCCTTGAGTATTTTCTGTTGGTCATGGGGGTTCTGTGTCTGAAGTTTGTCCCAATTCTGTCCTTGGTGAGGTTCAGAATGCTCTTTGATTGTAGGTGAACTAATCCCAGTGACTACAACTCCCAAATGCCAAGGTCTATTTTCCCCAAACTCCATCTGTGTTCATATTTGGTCGTATTGAGTGCTTGTGCCAAGTTTGGTCCAGATCCATCATTGTTTGAGTCCACAGTGCTCTCTGGATGCAGGTGAACTACGACTCCCAAAATCAAGGTCAATGCCCACCAAGCCCTTCCAATATTTTCTGTTGGTCCTGGGAGTTCTGTGTGCCAAGTTTGGTTCAATTCCATCATTGATGGAGTTCAGAATGCTCTTGATTGTAAGTGAACTATAAATCCCAGCAACTACAACTCCCAAATGGCAAAATCATAATTTTTTGAGTGATGGTCACTCCTTGTGTTGTGAGACGTTTTGTTGCCAAATTTGGTGTGATTTCGTTCATTGGTTCTTTTGTTTTTAAGGTACTCATTATGCATAGAGCATTTATATATATATATATAGATAGTAAACTTTATTTATATCTCTCCACCATCTCCCCAAAGGGGACTCAGAACGGCTAACATGAGGCCAAGCCCAAAAATAAGACAACAAAATAAGATAAAAGCATCAGAAAATTAAACAAATTAAAAAGTAGAGTTGTTAGTTTTGAGTTGGAAGGGTGGGGGAAGTTATGGGGAGGGAATATGACTTTTTTCCCTATTTTAGACTGGATCTACACTGCCATACAGTGCCATTCAGAACCGCATTATGTGGTCTCATCTAATGCCATTCAGCTGCATTTTATGAGTCTACACTGACCATATAATGCAGTTTCAAACTATTATATGGGCAATAGTCTTAACACCAAGTCACTATGCCACACTGCTTCCAAAATAAAAGAAAAGCGCATTCTATTGATTATTACAAGCCCTATGAGGAGCGGCTTAAAGAGCTGGGCATGTTTAGCCAGAAGAAGAGAAGGTTGAGAGGAGACATGATAGGTAAAAAAAGGTAAAGGTTGTCCCCTGACATTAAGTGCAGTCATGTCTGACTCTGGGGGTTGGCGCTCATCTCCATTTCTAAGCCAAAGAGCTGGCGTTGTCCATAGACACCTCCAAGGTCATGTGGCTAGCATGACTGCATAGAGCGCCATTACCTTTCCGCCAGAGCGGTACCTAGTAATCTACTCACATTTGCATGTTTTCAAACTGCTAGGTTGGCAGATGCTGGGCCTGACAGTGGAAGCTCACACTGCTCCCTGGATTCGAACCTGCGACCTTTTGATCAACAAACTCAGTGAGCGGAAGTCATAGGGAGTAGGGAGCAAGCTTGTTTTCTGCTGCCTTGAAGACTAGGATGTGGAGCAATTGTTTCAAACTACAAGAAAGGAGATTCCATCTGAACATTAGGAAGAACTTCCTGACTGTGAGAGCCGTTCATCAGTGGAACTCTCTGCCCCGGAGTGTGGTGGAGGCTCCTTCTTTGGAGGCTTTTAAACAGAGGCTGGATGGCCATCTGTCAGGGGTGCTTTGAATGCAATATTCCTGCTTCTTGGCAGGGGGTTGGACTGGATGGCCCATGAGGTCTCTTCCAATTCTATGATTCTATTGATATCAATTATTAATTATTATTACCCACGCAGCCAGTTTTAAGCATGAATTCTAAACTCGCATCCTGTGTTTTCATCCCTGTGCATTTAATACGCATTTTAGGAATATGTTTTAATATGTCTCTTGTATACAACTACATTTTAATATGTGTGTTTATAGAGTTTTTGCAATGTTTGTGTGTTTTTACTCTGCTGTGACCTGCCACGAGGAGAGTCGGGTAGGAAATAACATATTATTATTATTATTATTATTATTATTATTATTATTATTATTATTATTTGAAACACAACAAGATGAGTCCACAGCAGACACTCTGCTGGCTATTGTATTGGATCACATGTGGGACACTTCCCAAGTGTCTAGGTCATTATTATTATTATTATTATTATTATTATTATTATTATTATTATTATTATTATTATTATTTGAACACAACAAGATGAGTCCATCCAGACAAGATCACTCTGCTGGCTGTTGAATTGGATCACACGTCAGACACTTCCCAAGTGTCTAGGACTGTGTGATGTATCGGCGAATAATGTGTGCAGATGGTGGCCTTTTGCAGCTGACAGATGGTAATTTTGTCAGTGCCGATTGTGTTTAAGTGCAGGCCAAGGTCTTAGCACTGCACCCAGTGTGCCGATCACCACTGGGACCACCTTGACTGGCTTGTGCCAGAGTCTTTGCAGTTCGATCTTTAAATCCTCATATTATGTCAGCTTTTTTCCGGTTGTTTCTTTTCAATCCTGCCGTCACCTGGGATTGCAATCCATACTTTGTTTTATTAACATGATTGTGAGGTCAGGAGTATTGTGCTCCAGAACTATTATTATTATTATTATTATTATTATTATTATTATTATTATTATTATTTTACTAACAGAAAAACACAGTATGTCACAGCAAACAAGATATATATGCTGGATTTCGTATCACAAGTCTAGGACGCTTGGGAAGTGTTCGACTTGTATTATTATTATTATTATTATTATTATATTATAATATATTTATAATTATAAATTATTATTATTATTATTTTACTGACACAAAAACACAGTATGTCACAGCAAACGAGATATATATGCTGGATTTCGTATCACAAGTCTAGGACGCTTGGGAAGTATTCGACTTATTATTATTATTATTATTATATTATAATATATTTATAATTATAAATTATTATTATTATTATACTGACACAAAAAGACAGTATGACACAGCAAACAAGATATATATGCTGGATTTTGTATCACAAGTCTAGGACGCTTGGGAAGTGTTCGGCTTATATTATTATTATTATTATTATTATATATTTATAATTATAAATTATTATTATTATTATTTTACTGACACAAAAACACAGTGTGTCACAGCAAATGAGATATTATGCTGGATTTTGTGTCACAAGTCTAGGACGCTTGGGAAGTGTTCGACTATTATTATTATTATTATTATTATATATTTATAATTATAAATTATTATTATTATTATTTTACTGACACAAAAACACAGTATGTCACAGCAAACGAGATATATATGCTGGATTTCGTATCACAAGTCTAGGACGCTTGGGAAGTGTTCGGCTTATATTATTATTATTATTATTATTATTATTA